AAGAAATCTTCCAAATTTCTCTCACAAAATCGTGACAAAAACATTTTAAATGAATATAAAAACACAAGGATGAAAAATTTGGTTTCTTTTGTATTCATAAATCAATAAGCAAGGTAAGTAAATTACAATTTATACTTTCAATGTGTAGTCTAGTTTTTCATACTTTAGTTAATTAATTAAAATACTCCATGCAGTTTAAATAGCACTCTTTAAAAATTGCTAGGAAGCAAAATTAATGTGTTTCACTTTGCAGCACGCCTTTACCTGGTAATTAGCATTTACTGCCTTGTATATTGTTAGAAATGTATATTTTTCATATACTTTTCAAATGTAACGGATTAATAGCATAAAAAAATTCCAAAATCTTATATTTTACAAACAACCTGAAGATGCTTCAATATCAACATAACAAAAATGGCTTTGCTGTTCTTGAGATTTTTTTGCTTTACACTGTACATTTTTTTTGTTAAAATTTGATTGTCTATTGTGGCCCACCCTACCCCTGGGGTTTATCATTTGAACAAATTTGAATCTACACTATCCGAGGATGCTTCGATCATATTTAATAAAATTAATTATGACTGCTGTTCGTGAGATGAGGATTTTTAAAGATTTTTTTCTATATAACTTCTATGAAAAACTTTGATCCCCCATTGTGACCCCACCATACCCCAGGGGTCATCACTTGAACAAATTTGAATCTATATTATGTAAATAAGTTTCAGATGTTTCAACTTTTTTTGGCCAGTGGTTCCTGAGAAAAAGATTTTTAAAACAATTGCCACCAAATTTTCACTTTTTCTGATTTATCTCCCCTTAAATAATGGTTGTGTCCTTCATTTAAACAAACTTGAAAATCCTCTTTACCCAGGGATACTTTGTGGCAAGTTTAATTGAAATTGACCCAGTGGTTCTGGAGAAGTCAAAAAGTGAAGTTTACAGATGGACAAACAGGCAGACTATAGACAAAATGTAATAAGAAAAGCTCACTTGTGCTTTCAGCTCTGGTGAGCTAAAAATACCAGGTTGTGGAACTTAAAAGCCATTTTTATATATTAAAATATGTTCATCAGGCACATTGATATTATTGGGATGTCACCTAGCTTCTACATGCAGTTTTCAGAATAGAAAGTTTTCAAATTATATTACTATGAGAAATTTTGCCATTACTATTCACAAAAGAAAACATGGATTATCATCACTGATTAGTTTTAACCTTGGTCAATTTTTGTTTTTATTTGCAAATTGTTTTTAATAATGTACGATATTTTCAGGCACCATGTCACAAGGTATCTTGCTGATCACAGCAGCATTAGTCTGCACTCTGTCTCTGGGAGTGCTTGGTAGTTATGATGGCATCCCCCGGACTATGCTGGGTGAAATCCCGCTAGCAGGACTCACCAGGACAATACCCCTTGGAAGTTTCCTCCCTCCCATTGCTCCATCATGCTGCCCATGCCCTGCTCCCAGCAGAATCTACCCAGAGAGATATATAGTCATTGACAGAATGTCTCCTCCTTTACCCAGAGCTTATGGTAATTACCATGCTGTGAAATTATGTAAAAAAATTATTACCAGAATTGTTATAATTAAATTCTCTAATATAAATTCATACTTTCAAAAATCATTCAATTTATTTATAAAAATATTCAGTATGAAATTGGCAGAATGAATTTTTTAAAGACTTAAGAGGCCAATGGGCCACATGGCTCACCTGAGTAACTTTGGCCATTCTATTCTTTAACAGATTTCCCCCTTTGTAATACCTATCTTGACCTTACCCAACCCCATGGGTCATGATTTGAGCAATTTAGAATCTACACTACCCCAGGATGCTTCCACATAAGTTTCAGCTTTTTTGGCCCAGTGGTTCTTGAGAAGAAGATTTTTAAAGTTTTTTTTCTATATACTTCAATGTAAAACTTAGGTTCTCTTTTGTGGCCCCGCCCTACCCCTGGGGGTCCTGAATTGAACAATCTAGAATCTACACTTCCCCAGGATGCTTCCACATAAGTTTCAGTGTTTTGGCCCAGTGGTTCATGAGAAGATTTTGAAAGGTTTTTTCCTTATACTTACTCCTGGGGGTCATGATTTGATTAATTTAGAATCTACACTACCCCAGGATGCTTCCATATAAGTTTCAGTTTTTATGGCACAATGGTCTTTGAGAAGATTTTTAATGACCCCACCCTATTTTTGTATTTTCTTCATTATCTCCTCTTGGAAGGAGACATGGCCCTTTATTTTTACAATTTAAATTCCCCTTCACCCAAGGATGTTTTGTACCAAGTTTGGTCAAATTGGCCCAGTGGTTCTTGAGAAGAAGTTGAAAATGTGAAAAGTTTACAGACGGACGAACGGAATATAGACAACAGGTGATCAGAAAAGCTCACGTGAGCTAAAAAGTGAAACATGGTTTGTCCTTTAACTATAGGAAAAAGATTCATCATGGATATTTTTTTCATAAGATTATAATTCATGCTTTTTTTTCCGTATGCCTGTAATAATGTTCAAATTTTTCATCATCTATTCCAAACAGGTGCCCCCTTGATGATTTCACCACCACATCACTCTATGATGATGTCACCTCCTCCCAAGCCCCCGACCATACCTACTGAATCTGAGCCTACTCCAGAAACAAGTGGTGGATCAAATGGGGGTGGGGACCGCTGAATGCCTGCTGACACACTTTGATTCTAATTAGTTAGAGAATATGTACTCTTAAAACTGACTGTTAGATCAACATTTCATTTTTGTTGTGTAAATAGTATGAAATGTACGTCAAACCCTATTTTAAGGGTTGCTCCAGCCTCAATTCACAATAGTCAATAAAATTTAAAATTCAATAATTTATAATAATTTATTAAATATTCTTTTGTACATATAAAGAAAACAGTTTTAATCTTATGTTGAAAGATCTACCAACTCTACACTAAAGCAAAGACATAAATATCATTCATCAGTATTTATGTCTTTGACTATAAGCTAACAATAAATAGTTTATCTTCAGACTTTGTGAATGACTAATTTTCTTTAGTTGTGAACAAATATGCATACATTATCATCATTAATCACACGTATTCTTATCTCTTATTTCAGAACTTGTTGTAAACACAAAGTTTCATAAATCAATTAAAACTATTTCTCAGTGAAAATCAGTACACATGTATCAATTAAAAAAGTAAAGACAGCATAATATTATGCATTTTAACTTTATCATTGCCTCTTACCCCAGTCTTCATAGATAATTAATGGAGGTCAAATTAAATGGATATTTAAAAAATAGTGAATTTCCTCCTTTAGAAGTTAGGTATAAATCTATAATCATAAAATGTGCATTTTTTTTTGCAGTGTTAAGAATTTTGAATTCATGTCTTTTTTTTTCGTTAAATTAAAACTGGCAGATATTGCAATTTTAAAACAGAAACAAAACACTGAATACATTATTATCCAACTTGAGCATAGTATTACATAACATAAAATAAAAATAATGCATAAACACACAAGACCTAGTTCTTTAGACATCTTATATGCAACCTCTCAAAGAAAACATAAATCACATCTTGAAAATAAACTGAAACCAAATGTCGGGAAGTTTTAGAAGTCAAATGGTTATCTGAAATGTGATCCCTCTTAGAGCATGGGAATATTCTTGTGTGTGAGCTGAGACAAATTAAGGATAAGCAGGAGGAAAAAATGTTGCTGAGACAATACACAGCCTGTTATATTGACTTTAAGCACTATGAAAACAGACACAGATTCAGTCTATGACAGATATTAAGCTATGGTGTGCGGAGAAGAAGAACTGATCTGGAGTTGTGCATCCCGGCTCCATATGGGGGTCATAAAACTGAGATGAATTCGCTTTTGAACTCAGTCTCTCTTTTTAAAAAAAGGATTAATAGTGGGAAAGTGAGACTTGGAACAAAAGTGAGCTCATACCGTTTAAGCAGAATTTTTAGCGAGGATCTAATTTTGGCATTAGCGAGGGTGCTGAGATCACTAAAAATGAATACCGCTAAAAATTAATTGCATATTATATGTAATAACTTCTTTAGTGAGCATTTTAAAATCGCTAACATTATATCTTGCTAATAATTGAATACCACTTTTTGAGGACAAATCGCTAAATTTGTGTTTCGCTAAAATTTCCACTTATACGGTATCAGTTTTATGACCCCAGAACGATCTATCAAACTTTTATGTATTATATTTCTCTGCACTGCTCTACAAAGACTAAATGTAAATTGGTGTATGTACATGTTATTATAAAAATATCACTAAGAGATGTTAAGACACCACCCTAACTATACATATACTCCTAATAATTTTTTTTTGCAATAAATGAAACTGGTGACTAGATTTAATGCCAAATTAAAACGGTTACTCTTCTTTTTTAACCATAAGGAATTCATTTATTGTTAATGCATATACTGTTTAACCTAATGCATTTAAAATAAATAATTATCTACAAACTATGCATTCCTATACAAATTTTTTAAAAGTAAACATAACGTTTAATAATTTGTAGAATGCTCTGAATGGTTAATATATTGCATATGTACAAGTCACAAAAAGAGGTAGATTCAGAAACTTTATTCCTAAAAAGGCATTACTGGTTCAACCTATATTTGATCCCCCATTGAACTAGCCGGGCCATAACTGCCCCACAGGAAAACATGGTTATGATGAACATCCTGATTAATCAGTGATGCTTACAAATAAAACATTAGTAGGCTAGTTCTTAATCAGATGTTCACTGTAATGAATTTCACTCTGAAGTAGGTTGACTGTACATGTATTCATAGCTTTTACGTGTAGTAATAGTGCATATACTTGTCGGTTCAGCACTAGATTAGTATCACATTGTGGAATGCCTTATATATGTACAGGTGTACTGAAAGACAATTACAGCACATTAAGAAGCACCTTAATTGATCATTTAAATTCATTTCAAAAACAGATTTTCTCCCTTACAAGAACTTTTCTCCATACAGAATACAGAACATATATAAATAAGTTATTGTATATTAGGGGGGATTTTGAGGCATCTTTAAAGCTTTTTTTTTAGTTTAATTGCAAAGATTAAGTGCATGAAAATATTAAGTTCACAAATATATAAGATATCAAGGAAAAACTTCTAACATACATAGCTTAAAAACTCTAAAAAGAATCATCACATTCATTAATCACATTAAATTTACAAACCAAAAAATATAACCCTATATTTTCCCTTCAAAAAAATATACTCTCAATATCCGAAGCATAAAAAGTCAGTATTTATAATAAATAACTATTGATGACCTATAAGCATGCCTACAAGTTTGTGCTATAGTTGTCTGAATTAACGGAGGAGCCCGAGGGATTGCGCGTGTGATCTTGTAGCCTGGTTTTCATGTCTTTCCCTATGCTGCTTGTAGAATGGGGCTTAGGTATCAAAGGAGATGACACAGTTTTATCTTCACTGTTTTCAAGATCAGAATTTTTTCGGTTGAAGGGCTGCATCTCAAAGTTATCAACAACAATTCTGGAATTGTTTTTAACAACAGCAACATCTGGTGCATCTCCGTTTGACAAACTGGTTTTGTGATCCGCTGCCTCTTTCTTCGGCTCCTTCGGTTTGGATTTATCACCCTTGAGAATTGCTTTGGCTATGTTGAACTTAGAGGCTTTAGGTGCTGCCTTAGGGGAGACAACTTCTTGGGTGTCTTCATCAATGGTTGCCAATTTGGCCGTGTCTTCGTCCGGAACTATGCTGATATCATCTAGAAGCAAATGATTGAGTAATAATTGTTCTTTATTTCAATATAATTGACAAATGATACACATGTATCACTGTCGCCTCAATAAACAATTGACTTCAACATTAATCCACCAATCATCCTATCAAATTATCATCATATCATTATACAAGCACTTACTCCTAGACTTACAATAGTAACAAAATATTTCTGCAGCTATTTAGAATCCTTGATAGGAAAATGCAGTTTAATAAAGGACTCTATATAAAAGTATAAAAAAAAATCTAAAATCTAGGACTCCCTATAGACTAGCAAGCAATACATGTAATTTTATGTTACCTGGCAATTTTTTGGCCCTAAATGAAGCGTTGGTGATGGCTGATTTGGAGATGGAGTGTGCTGAAGTAGACGGGGTGACGGCCATCATTCCTCGTACACTGTCACTGGAACTGGACACCACGGACTGGAGGCTGTTAGTCATTGCATTCGTTACCTACAGAACAACAAGGAGGAAAACAATGATTAAACACTAACCAAGTCCCTGACTTAATTTCACATAGGTATATAATTATTTAAAAAAAGTGTTGATTTTGCTTTTAGGAATAAGAATGTATAAATTTTGGTGTCTTTATACCGTATTATATGAATCATGAATTTAAGAGTTCAAATTCTAGATACTGTCCTATTTTCTACAGTTCTTATGAAAAATGTCATTTTACAGTGTACCAGGTATATACTGACCAGTAGAACATCTGCATACAGCTCATAGCTGGCTCTGTGATGAAGATCATAAATAGCTTTAAGTCCTAATGAAGGCTGGCTATTAAACCTAGTGACAGAAAAAAAATATTTAACTCAAGAATGTTAGAGTTATCTTCCCTGAAAGTGTAAACTAATAAACACACTTTATTGAGATCGATTAATCGAATAAAAAAAAATTATCACACTGGATTGTTTCAAATGAAACAAAATTAAATTTGAAATTTCATGTGAAATCCCTTTGGGATATTTTACTGATCATTTATTTATGTCCACTTCAAAGGAGACACTTACGTGACATAGTATAGGCCTGAGAGCATTTCAATCATTAGGGAGGGACTGACAGCCAGCCTGGGGGGTAGGTCCCCATACTGACTCTGTCTCCTGTCCTGCTGGGGGGAGTCAGACAGGGAAAATGTAGCAACCTCCTCATCAGTGTAAAGGTCCGACAGATTGAGGAATCCAGTGGTAGCTATCCTACAATACATAAAAATGATAGGTTTTAAACACATTTAGCTAAGGCTATCTATAAATTATGATAATGTTTGTTTTGCCCCCTCCCAAGGATAGAAAAAAGTGGATTGGTGGGTAGTCTGGAAATCCAGCCCCCCCCCCCCTTTTTTTTTAATTTTCAACATTGATGCCTATTAATTTTCCCAATTTAAAATTGAAGGTAGCCTAAAACTTGTCTCTCTTTGTTGCAGGTGAGGCATCATCATCTAACCTTACTTGCACATGAACTGCATAAATTTGGACTTGTCATATTAGGAAAGGTTATTAATACAGTAAAAGCTTGTTATCTTGAATGTGATGGGACTGAGAGAACACTTTGAGATACATGTACCATTTACCAAAAGTTGCTGGAACTTTGGGATATCCACTGAACTCGATATAAAGGTTTTTGAGATACTTTTGTTGAATTGTTTAATGATTTTTTAAAAAATGTTTTAATGTTCACTTCATTCCTTTGTTTTTCGTTGTAATTGGAGATGAATTTAAAAAATCTTACAAAATCAATGTCAACCCTTTATACGTTGAAGTGTCATTCTTTCTTTTCATGTACAATCACATTAACAGGTTGAGTTTAAGAATCCTATTCGACCTTAGGTAATTCCGATTTCCCATTAGTCTACATTGGAACGCAATTTCCACCAAATCCTTAAGTCTACCCCACTAATCACTTTGTAAGCTTGATCTTTCTAAAAATCGTTGATCTCGAGAGAAAGAGACAGATACGAGATACGGAGTATGGAAAATTTTTGCCTGCGCTAAAGTATCTGTTAATTATAATTAATAATCCTGGCTCAGGTTATTGATTGGTTACCTGGAGGATGATTTACAGAACCAAAGATGAGACTGAGTTGTCAACTCCGCGATCTCCGTCGTGTACGTCTGGAGAACGTTGGACAAAATAGCCTGTCTGAAAGAAAAGATATTACGAAAATGTAATTAACATAGAAATGAAAAATTTGATTTTAAAATTTATGTTAAGAAATGTCAACTAAATTTTTGATGCATACATAGTTATTGGCACTTTTTTCCTTTCTTCTTATGTTTATTTTTTAGGCATATAAATCTAACATTTTTCCTTTTAACATCTTTTTCTTGCATTTCCTTCCTACTGTGTTCAATGTACTAACTAATTTCTAAAATTCAATTTAGAGTTAACCAACTAAAACTTTAACCTCAGCAAATTGAATACACTTCATAAAACTGGGAAAGGAAAAAGCTACAGTAGCATTTCTTTTTTTAGGGAAGGGGGGGGGGGTTAAGATATTGTATACATGTAAGAAAACTTTAATTTGTTTGATTTGTTGAACATCCTCAAAAGGAGCCAGAAAAATTCAATATATATTACAAGTATCCTGCACTCTCTGTCAGGTGAAAACTTCAGAAAATTGTAATTTGCAAAAATATGATTTACTCTCTTAATAAACTTGTCCATAAATTACAAGTAACCTTCATCTCTGAGAAAAATTGTTTTGCGATCGCCTTCGGCCAAAACACAATGAAGAGATCAATGGAAACAAATTAACTCACTGGAGTATGAAATTTCTAGACGAGGCATTTTTTCCTTCATTACAGAAGAAGAACACAGTGTCTCTCCTCTGGACTACCTCTTTCCTCTATTGATTATGAAAATCCAGAGAACATGTGTACGTTTAGCTTACTAATCTGCAGTTGGCATTTAGGCAAAACAAGGATACACAAATTTTAGAGAAAGTCAAAACTAAAATTCAATCTTTATGAGTTACATATACTTTCCTTATCTTAATATTATTTAGAACAACAGTTAAATTAATCACTTCTAGATGTATGTATTATTAAGTTTTTTTTTGAAAATAAAAAAATATTTAGCCTACTTGAATTCAAACTTAAGGTGAAACTTAAAGTTGATTACTTCAAAATATCAATTTCAATTCCACTGAAAAGTTTTCAAGTAACAAAAGCACTACTTGCTATATCCTCAGCCACTAACCTAGAAAAGCATAAGGACAATGCACATCCATGAGCCTTCTTATGAAAAGAGTTTGAGCCAGGTAGGGCCAAAGTGAAAGCATATATAGACAATTATTTGACATGAAAAGGCATTCTACCTTGACCTTATATCTAAATGTGGACCCAAAGTCACTGAATTTCCTCCACCGACAGGCACTCTATGGGTGAAGTATAAGCCAAACTAGGCCAAGGGGGAGAGAAAATGTGATCCAAACAGGGAGATGTTTCTGACTTTGGCCTTTAATCAAATTTTTTTGTTCAAAGTCACTTCAAACCCATTTACCAATGGGTAATCTATAGTTTGAGCTTGACTGGGTCAAACGGAAAGAAAATATATGTGTTCTGGACAAGGATTTTAAACAGAAAGCTTTTTAACCTTGACCTTTGATCTAGAAATTTTGGTTCAAGGTCACTACATATTTTTTAGCCACCTGTACTCAACAAATGAAAGGGAGATAAAATAAGTTACTGATAAGGATTTTTTACAGACTTTTTTTAAAACTTGGCTTTTTATCCAAGGGTTCAAGGTAACTGAAAACCTTCTATCCACAAGCACCCTCTGATGAAGAATTGATTCTGACTAGGCCAAGGGGAGATATGGGGGTAGTAACATCAGTTAGTGTGTCATTATGTTAATTTTACACAAATTAGGTGTAATGTACTCCATGATAAAATCTCCATCAAACCTTTGTGACAATGACAAGTACTCATAATACAATGGCCAGTAACTTCAATGCCCCCGAGGATCATTGAACTTTAATCTATCAAACTCTTAACTGTATATGGGGACTATAACTTTAACATAGGTCAACACTCTTCTCTCAGTTCAACTAATTAATATCACACTATATAAGCCATTGGAATATCATGTACACATCAATTTAAAAACATAATTATCTACAGAACCTTTACCCAATTCAATAAAATATTACATCTTTTGAGAGTTGCAAGATTTGAATATCATGTACATGTATGAATGAAAAGGCATTCTAAAAGAGTAATCTTGTGATGTTAATAAACAAAATTTATCAGATATTATCGGTAATCTAGTTCACCTTTCTTTTTTTTTTCTTCACTAATGTCTAATTAGCCAATTCATTATTTTTTCTGCAATGATGTAGAAACAAGAGGCCCATGGGCCACATCGCTCACCTGAGTAACTTGGGTGATGCAGTTCTTTACCAGATTTCCCCTCTTGCTATACCTATCGTGCCCCCTACCCCCTCCCCTCATATGATTTTTATACTTTAGAATCTACACTACCCCAGGATGCTTCCACATAAGTTTCAACTTTCCTGGCCCAGTGGTTCTTGAGAAGAAGATTTTTAAAGATTTGTTCTATATATTTCTATGTAAAACTTGGATTCCCTATTGTTTCAGCTTTTCTGGCCCAGTGGTTCTTGAGAAGAAGATTTTTTAATGACCCCACCCTATTTTTGTATTTTCTTGATTATCTCCCCTTGTGAGGGGTGTTGGCCCTTCATTTTAACAATTTAAACTCCCCTTTACCCAAGGATGCTTTGTACCAAGTTTGGTTAAAATTGGCCCAGTGGTTCTTGAAAAGAAGTCGAAAATGTGAAAAGTTAACAGACGGACGGATGGACAGCTAGACAGACGGACGGACGACGGACAAAATGTGATCAGAAAAGCTCACTTTAGCCTTCGTCTCAGGTGAGCTAAAAACTCAACATCCCTTTAATGAGAGTGTTACATAAATGCTTCAATATCAAACTAAGAAGTGTAAAGTAAAGTGTCATCAACATTGTGTGGAACATCAAAATCTTTAAAACTCAGAGAGAACTGAAGTTATCACTGGAAACCTTGTTTTATGCATGATATTTCTTCCCATGACCTTTTGACCTAAATGCATAGAATTGTTTATTTTTATGAAGGTACGCTGTATGTTGGGAGTTGAAATATGTATTATTTCATTGAAATTTCATTTAAAAAGTTAAAGAAAAACTAGTTATCAACTTATCATCTGAATTATTTTCTTTTTTTTGCATTGCATGAGTTTGACCTTTGACCTAAAAAGTACTAAGATGTACTTGTTCCTGTTATCTGTTATTTAGTTCACCTGTTTTGTCTATTAATGGCCTCGTACTGAGGTAAGGGTCCACTCCTAGTGTAACATTACATGTAGTGTGAATCTATCTGAACACCTCTTTGTCTTAACTCACCTGTTCTGTCCATTAATGGCCTCGTACTGAGGTAAGGGACCGCTACACCACGTCTCGGCCTCGCGGCGGTCCAGTCGTGACAGGGCACTCTCTGTGAGGGAGATACTGCTGATGCTGGTTGGCTACAAAGACAGGAAATTACTGGGTAAGTAAAGTCTAATACATACTGAGCTTCTAAAGCATTGAGTGAAACTTGTCTAATCCAGATAAAACTGGTTCCAAAGACATTGGTGGTATTAGACAACATTCCGAATTAGAGAATATGCACCTTTAAGGGATTTAAACTTGACATTTTATTTGGTAAGATTTATATACACAGCATCTGTATTAGACAAGTTTCCATGTTTCACTGTACTATCATGATCAAGTTATCTTTATTTACACACTGAATTGTCAACATATTTTTCCATTTCCTGATCATGACAAAGAGCACATGGTGGGTGTGACCAGTTGGAAGAGGATTACTCAATCCACCATGGCACCTCATCCCACCTCTGATGTGTTAGAGGTCTGAGATTTAGAGATTTTGAGCTTGAATTCTGTTTGTTATAATCTCCATATACATGAATTTCCTTTTACAGACATTTTCTAGGAAATTTAAATCCTAGCCAATTTATTTTCATGGAACACAAAGGAAGCTACATGAACAAAATACTAAAAATTGGCATAAAACTACTTTTTCATATCATCTTAAACAAATAAAAAATAAAAATGAACTAAAATACAAAGCCACAAAAATTTTAATGGATCATTCATTAAAAAACCTGGCATGATCCAAGGCAAAATAATTGGATCCCTGATCATTGAGAACTCCCTAATCATCATCAGTCAGTAATAAGTGCAGCATCCCAGCTCAGATGTCTGCCTCAGAAGTTTTACATCGGTTTAATGTCAATAACAAGTGCTCTGTCTCTTTACTAAAATATTTTAATGAAAGTTTTTTTTGTCATTTGTTTCCGTATGGAGTTTGCATGAATGCTAATGATGGGTTTTCTTTTAGGCATAAACCTAATTTCAAGAATATTGGTCGGCTTTTATATTAAACTCCAATTTTATTTCATATTTCTAGTTCAAGTACTCTTAGTACATTTTGGTAAAGAAAAAAATATAAATAGTACTTAGTACTTCGGATGATTTCTGCAGAGTCATTTGTAGATGCTCTGTAAATAATTCAATTCAAAGTTTGTTGATAATTCACATAGAATTACATGTACAATTAACATGAATTGAATGTCAACTGACATTTTTGAGCCATTATTTAAATGCTGAATTTTCTACAGATTTTTCCCTTTGTTTGATCATGACAAGGAACACACAGTGGGTGTGACCAGTCAACAGGGGATGCTTAATCCGCCATGGCACCTGATCCCACCACTGATGTCTGTAGAGGTCCATGTTTGCTCTTCTCCAAAGCTGTATTCTTTCAATATACTTTTAA